GAGGAGTCGTTTGGGTTTCAAGAGACCGGGCATCCGAGTCGACAAGTCCAAGCTGACCTTCATTCTTGCCAAAAGTATAGAGGCCAAAGTTGCTGAAAACGACTGAGTGTATCGCAGATGCTGCAGCTCCAAGAATGGTTTCCTTCTTGAACGGGTTGAATATCTGTCGTGGGGTCTTTTGCATAGGCACATCATCTCGGTTGTTGGTCCTTGGAAGACCATAACCCAATTGACCAAACTTGTTGCTTCCCCAGCTGAATATCTCGCCATTCTCTGTTATTGCGAGAGTGTGATCCTGGCCAAGGGCGACAGAAATAACCTTCTTGTTGGCCAACCCTCCGGTCTCGATGCAGACAAAGCTGAACCTTGTTGACTCATCGCCAGTACCTAAGCGCCCTCCGGGGCCGAAGCCGCACAAGAACAGGTTTGACTCTGGATCGTTGGTGAGAATGGCTGTGTGCAGTTTGGACATGGCAATGTTCTGGATTTTAATAGGTTTGTTCTTGATCAACGCCGGCAAATCTGCAACTCCGCGCACCTGTTGGAGATCTGGACTGCTCTCGTCCAACTGCTGTTCCTGAAAATCGGAAAAGAACCGTTGCAAGAGGTGATCTGGACGTCGGAAGGTTATTCTCTCGGGATATTGGCGGTCGTCCTGGTCCCCTACACCAAGATTCAGGTTCTTATTGCTCCCGAACGTATATACTTCGTCGCCTAGTACATTTGTTCTCGGTTTTAACGCTCGCTTCGTAAAATAGCCATCTTCATCGAAGTCGTCGGGCTGCGAGGACGTAATGGAGGCCGTGTCCGCATTGTCAAGATCGGCGAGCTTTGAATCATTCGCTGTCGACGAGACAATACTCTTGATGTCACGAGACGCAATTGTAGCTCCATATACATCAAAGGGGCTGTATCCTTCTCGATCTTTAATTTTTATCAAGGTACCACTCGTGTTGGTTATATTCCCTGATTTACTAAAATCCGTCGCATCGCGCACGTCGCGAGCTAGTAACGCCTGAGCAATAGCGGCATTGCCCGCATACAACGCTCGATGCAGCGCCGTCCATCCACTCTCCCAATCTTGTGCATATATGTCAATGAAAGGCGCCTCGAGTAAAGCAACAGCAAAGTCGGTCGCAGTAGGTTTCGTCGATGAAGCCACAAGGTGGAGTAGCGTTCTGCCAAGCTGATCACGAGCATTTAATCCCTCCCGAGATAATGTCGCTCCACTCCGAGGTGTATTGCTTCGATCCGGGACCGGACTACCTGGCGACGTTCCGCTCAATTTCTTGCTTTTCAAAGAGAGACCACTGGTGGCTATGGTACCCCCAAGGCTTCCGATCTTGAAACTAGCTGATCCACCAGGTCCTGAAGCCCGCTGACTACCGGAGGTGTAGCTGGCAGATGCCAGAACCCACCGGAAGCTATCAACGTCATCGCGCAGAAAGAACTCCCAAAGCTTGCTACTCATGTGCCCCAAGTTGTAGTATGTCAGAATCTCTTATCAGCCGAGGACCAGAGCGTCGTGTTCACCACAGAGGGTTCACGGCGCACCGGAAAAGCTCCGCGGGGCAACAAGAGTATTCTGACAGGTGGAAAAGAAAGAGTCGACAGTCGTCAACGCGCAGTCGTAGTCTCGGGTTGTAGTCGGAGAATCGTATACACCAACGCGATTGCCGTAACGAAGACAGGGGAGACGGTACGAAGGATTAAGGGACGTGTCGTGAAATGAACGATATTGCGGTGGCGATGACAGCTATGAATTAACTCCGAGTCTCGGACGTGAGGGGAAAGGAACTTTCAACGCGATCGATTCGATTCGCCAACGGGACGCGACAGCAATATCAATGCAGAAGAGTGAATTCAAGCAGTAATGGAAGCGATTCCCGTCGGTATATTCCTAGAGGGGATTTTGCTCTACTTGGAGTCCTTGACAGTGCTGTCACGGGATTAAAGGATTACTGACCCATGGATTGGAGAGATAATCGGACAGCGTCCAATCAGGCGGTGCGCACCCCTCCATGCGCCCCGACGAGAGGTTGAGGGACGACCGTGCTTCCAACTACTATGAAACCCCTCACTACATCCATGCGTACTAGTAGGTTCCTTCATTTTCCAGGTCCAAACGGTCTTCATGATGCGAACCATGGAATTAAGCTTCTGGTTTCAAATGTAACCCTAAATCTATGTTGGAACCTATACAACCTTTTGGCGTCTTCCCAAGCTCCCGATGATGGGTCTGCCCTAAAGCCGTCTGGGTATCCACTACAGGATAAACAGCCCAGTGCGCATTCTTTCTACTCATACACACGCTACTATGACGGTTAACAATCGATCACTGGATCTATGTTCACCATCACCAGTGGTGTCTGTGTGACTCGAGGGATTAGTGAGGCAAACAATCTATAGGGAAGAAGAAACCTGTCTAAGCTGTAGATGAGCCATCCAACGGATCGTACATATTGAGTAACTCTACCTTCTATATTCTATCCCACTCATATGTTCACTACATTGTGGATGCGAGAACCACTCTGTTAATGGCATCGAACAAACATATATTATGTATTTTTGGACATAAATATTGCGCTACTTGTTCGGAAATGAGCCACGAGCCCCAGTCACACTACTCCCGATACGGTGTTTGTGTACATGTGGACTCGGGATAAAGATCATCACTACCTCAGACTCAACCCAGTCCCAGGGGCCTAAGTGGGTACCATATCTCTGCAGATGAGGTTGTCTGATCACCACACCGACTTATCTCAGACTCAGAAGACTCGGAGCCGCCTCAATCCGCACACTTCCTGCATCTAAATAAGATGTGGGTGGCAACTATATTGGCTCCGGGGACGAAGAGATGGGAAGGGAAAAGGAAAGAAGAAGAAATTAGACATAAGCGAAAACCCTATTCATATTTGGTCTAGACTGTATGACGGGGCAGATGAAATACTCCTCGTTGTGCATAGCGATACCTTGGCGAAAGACTATGTGAAAAGTTTCGATCAGACCTTTAGTCTATATCCATGATTGGCCCGGGGAAGATGCTCAGCAGATGCGACAGGCCTATAATCACGATAGCATATATATGTTCCAGATGCAACGAAATATCGAGATATACGTATGGTTCATATAATGCCCGAGGATCGGTCACTACAAAGAGCTTGTTTTTTATGCTGGGTACGTACTATTGAATGATGAACTGGACTGGGAATCTCTTTTTGGATAAACAAACAAATAAATAGATAAGAAAGGTATTCCTGTATTAGGAATAATGTAGATGACAAGACGACAAAAGAAAAACAAAAAGAACATAAGAGACGAAGAGGATGCTAGATCCGACGAGGGATAACCCCAAAGAGCATGCACGCACCCGACAAAGGTACGATAGTCCCTTAGGTACTGAACAGTGGACACACCATGATGTATGAATAGCACTGTTTATAGACATACATCTGCATGCTATCTCCAGCTGGCGCCAAACAGCAATGTCCAAGTCTTTCTGTATTGTCGGAAGGAATCGACTGGCCAACTTTTGTCCCAACAAGATCAGGAATGATACCTGTGGAGCAGGGAAATAGAAGAGCCTAGACTGGAGTGTTAAGAGGCGGCATCAAGACAGAGGTCCCCTGCAAGGCCACTTAAGATAGTAGTCTGCTTCGCTGCAGGCCTTGCAGTTCCGGTGCATGGAGCTTGTCGCACATTGTAAGCCATACTACTTTCTACCACTAAGCATTCAGGATGAGCAACTAGGTAACACTACATCGAGTCTGTGCTCGGGTCGGCTATAGGCTGAGGGATTCCTCTGTAAATTTCCTTCCCCACCGCCCATGAAGCTGTTGCAGGTGAGGCGACCATTCCCCAGCAGCTGGGGGGCGATGGTCTATGCTCTGTTTTCGTCGACCGTTCCATTATTGGTACGTACAGCACACGGGCACAATGGAGTGTGGAACGGTCGATCATGAATTAAATCCGCCTAGTTGAACGTTTTATACCTTAATACTGTAAAGGGTAAGAAAGAAGACAGAAAAAGAGAAAGAAGAAAAAGAAGGGGGAAAAAGAAAAAGCAAAGTGACCGGAAACAAAGAGCTGAGGACGGAAAAAGAAAATAAACAAATAAATTCAAAAAAAGTCAAAAGATAAGAAAAATAACAAATCGAAAAAGGATAAATGAAACAACAACTTAAAGGGGGCGAAAGGAGAGAAAATCACGAAAACTGCACAGAAAGCAACCTTACTATCAATGAGGGTCCATTACTATCATGGGGGTGGTTGATTAAGTTGATTGATCGACCTGCGCAAGCGGCAATTTCTGGAGCTTTCATCATACTTTCCATTGACTGCCGCCTCAATATTGAGTCATGTATCGTAATTCAAGGTTGAATTGACACCAACACTTACGACCTTGCTCTTCGTATTTTTTATTACACTAGATAAGATGATCGATCAAGGCTTCACTAAAAAGCAAGACACGTACGTCTGTTTAGTTAGGTAGCAATTATACGTATACTGAGTCACATTGATAAATTAGATCCTACTGCCAGTTGTCAGGACATGTTAGGTCGATAGAGGATACGTAGAAGGATGACTTCAAAAAAAAAATATCGGTATCCACCTGACTGTTTTCATACGGTCCAGTTGGGGGCAATCATACATACCGCCTAACAACTTGTTGCTGCAACCGCGACTATCGCTTGACCGCCTTCTAACGTCCTGGTTTATCTCGCCAGCAACTTGCATCGTGATTGGCCACGATCGATTCCTAACCAGTCCTTCTACTGTACGATCCCCGTAAGTTGGTTGTTCTAAAAGCAGTTTCTCTCGAAACTGGGAATTAAAAATATCCCTTACTGGCAACTAGTCACTAGACGACTGTATAACTAGTGGATTGTCTTTAGTAAAGAATGCCGTGGCACTTGTCAGGCTGACCGTGGGCTTTACTTTTGCACTTGATCTGGGGGGTGGATTGCTCATGAACCACCCCGAGTCACCGGGTGTGCGTCACAGACCACTTTGCTCCCGTGCTGCCGCCGCCGTTTGTTGCTGTGCCTCACATATCTCTTAGCGCATTACACGCCTTTTACCTTGTCTCTCCGTTTCATCTCTCCTTCCTTATCCACACCCCCCAGAAACATTGTTGTAATTCCCTCTTCCCTCTTTTCCTCCTCTGCATCTTCCTTCCTGAACTTTTTAAATCCAGTGTATTGGTGACTATGAAGCCTTAAATTACCTTATTCTCCCACGACGTGAGGACGCCGTGCAACCCCCCCGGATCTGCCTTGTCGTCAGTGCGGAGAAGCTCACAAGGTTGTCTAGACCGCATACTCTTCAAGTGTGCCAGCATCCTGTTGCCTGAGCACATAGTGCGATGAAATCAGCCTCCACTAATTTGATTTGGAACGTGCCTAATCTGTCCGGAATTTATTCCCCTAGCTCCTTTCCTAATCTTGAACCTCTGGCTGTGTAGTTCGTTAGTATGGCCGTCCGCATCGCATCAGTCGCCTCCCCATTACCTTCTTGATCGAGACAATCGCCCTGTCATAGCTCAGAATTTGATCCTGGCTTAAGAAGGACTACTCTGAGTATCCTGTTCTCACTTGCGTTGTGTGTCGCAGAAGGATCATGCATCAACATCCTCGGTCGCCGGCGCCAACAGCGCCAACTTCCTCCGCCAGGCCGAACTCATCCCGTTCGAGAGAGCTGGATTATCGTCCTAATTCCCCTGCAGCCGATGTCAGGGTACATAACAGCAGAGGCTTGGGGATTGAAGCGGAACCTGACTCGTCAGGGCAAACTATTCAACCTACAAAGGAGGCGATAGCGAAGCTGAACCAAATAATATCGGTATGGGATCAATGTCCGGCTTGTGGCCTTAGGGCTTGGTGATGGACCTCCGCTGACTTGTTCCTGTTATGTTGCAGAATTATCACACGAAAGCTGCTTTGATTATATTGCATTCACGCATTGAGCTCCCACCTTCATTCAACAAGGGCTCTGACACTCCCAGAGTGAATCGCTGGGTACGTCTTATCCCGATCGCTTGAGAACATACCTTGCCCCAGATATAACTAAGACCTGCCCTCCATCTGCGATGTCTCCAATACTTGGGCTGACCTAATACCTTTACGGCTTAGTTTAACGTTGAGATTGAAGATACAGATGTGCTGCGAGAACAGCTGCGCACTTGGAGAACCTGTGATGCCACCGAGAATCGCCCGCCGCCTTTAATTATTGAAACATATCTTGATACAAAGGGGCTCACGAATAATCAAACCCTTGTGGCTTTGGATGAGAATGGGAAACGATGGGATGTGTTAGAAGCCCTTGCTGCATCTCAACAGGCCCATCCGGTCAGACCACCCTCGGCCAGCTCCGATGATGTCATCTTGGAGCGGTGGAGAGTTGAGTTGGGGGATACGTCGAACGCGTTACCGGCTGATCTTGGATCTATTCTGCCTACTGTATACAAGAAGAGCATTGTCCTTTTCCGGTCATTATTCACCTATTCTAAGTTCTTGCCCGCTTGGAAGTTCGCAAAGCGCAATGGGAGGCTTCGAGCAAACCCAGCTCTACGGATCAAGTACAGGATCATTATCGGCTCTCCTAATCAGGCGAGTTCGAAGCCAGATCACTTGACCATGCCTTTATACGAGAGTAGTAGCAAAGTGGTCGAAACCTACAGCTTTGGTGTCACCGATTCGCCGGCGGGTCCATTCTCCGCCCAAGTGACATATCGAACTAGCTGCGATTTCCGCGTGGATGACTCCGAAGCTCTGTTAAGTTCTCGATTCATGGGAGCCGATGATGAAATCTTCCGTCCGTCATTACCTACGCGAGTGGTGGATAGTAGAGTGCCTCCCCCTGAAATAGGGTCACTACCACAAGAGAGGAGAACAGTGGAAGATCCAGACCCCGGCCGGGCGTACGGTAGCCTCTCGACCTTCCATCAGGTCGGACCTACAACTAGCGCGAGTCCCATATCAGCTCTCCGGGCTAAAGGAGAGTCAGGCACTTCCTCTCCGTCCTCGCCTGGCTCGTCCTCTCGAAAGGCCTCGGCCATTGGGAAAGCTAGTCCTGTGGGACGCGCTGCTATCCTTGCTAATGAAGGCAGCCCAAATATTGCCAGACGCCCATCTATATCTTTTCAGCCATTCAAAGCTCCACCATTATCGGCATCACCATCCCTTGTCGACCCTCCACTCTCGTCTCCTCGCTCAGTAACCGGGCCTCGTCCCCATCCGTCTATGGCAGCTTCTGCTCGCAAGTCTTTCCCGGCAGTGCAGGACAATAGCACTGCGTCTCCTAGTTCCGCGTCCCCACGACCGGCTTCCATCTCGCGGTATAGCAGTGCTTTCAGTCACCGTCGGGGCAGGCCTTCTTCTGGAGGAATAAATAAATTGGAAGATGATACTTCCAGTGGGAAAGCAAGTGCCACTTCGTCCGCTCAGCCTGGCTCCGGCTTGCTAGCTGAACCTACTGGAACAAGTGCCGATTCCATTCACGCCGATGATGAGAATATTTCAGAATTCCTGAAAATGCTAGACCTACGGAAAGATCTTCTCAATACGTCAGGCTCAGCTGCCCTTGATACTACTGCGCGCAGGACCACGGTCACCTCAGCCGCTTTAACACGCTTCCAACGTATGCGGGATTCCAATGCTGCACTTTCTGACTCGATGTCGTCATCTCTGCTTTTACAGCGCTCATCAAATTCCTCTAGCAAACAGCTCTCTGGAGTTCCACCAATGATCGCGGGAACGTCCATCTCAACTGCCTCGTCGCCAGGAAAACCGATATCTCCCCACACCCCACACACTCCTGCGATACCATCTCGCCTTAGTTCTAACAGTATCGTTGATTATACTCATCCTGAGGGCAATGGCACAGACCTTTCCCAGGGACACGGCTCCCCTCTCGATGAGAACACCAGTGATGGGACAACCATGGAGCACGGACCGTCCGCAGTGAACGCTATAGACATCCCGACATCACCTCGCCTCTTTCCCCCTGTCTATCGTCGATCTAGTTCTGCTGCCCACCGCCCACGTACAGTCGCTGTAGATGACGACGAGATTTTCCCTTTCAATCGCAGCGTAAGCCTTGGTGCCGAGGAGAGATCCAACCTGAGCCTTGGTGCACTTCATCGACAGCATGAGTATGAAAGCTCTGAAACAACCACGCACCGAGCGCAGCGAGAGCCACATCCATTGCCATCAAACGAAGATGCAGTCGTACCGTCTAGCTCAATAGCCCGTGAACAAGGTTCTCATAAGGGTGTGACGCCTGGCCCTACGGTTGCCTCTTCGTCATCATCTCACCACCACGTCTACCAGCCACGCTTCAGCCACTCTCGCGGCCGGGGGTCTTCCGGTGGTCATCATTCCCTAAGCTCCGGCTCTAGCAGCCTTGCACGTGGTGCTGCCATTCCTCCTGGTCTTACTGAACGCGAGAGTGAGCGAGATGGCAACGGGAGTGGTAGTAATAGTGCTACCTCGGCAGTGGAAGATCGTCGGGGTGTAGGACGACGGCCCAGTGCTGGCCGTGGTGGGCCGCCGCAGTCGGCCCAGTTAGAAGAAGACGAACCTCTGCTATTCGCTATGAGCGACTTTGGTGCCTCACGACGGAGCTTCGAAGAAGGCAGACATGGCAACCATGCTCATGATCCGGCTGGGAACGTCGCCGGATCAAGACGAGGAGGAAGTAGTAGACGCGGCGGTGGCTTCCACCCTTGGTCCTAAAGTTTCTGCAACATACACGAAACCTGATCTTTTCATATTTCACTTCACACTCTGCCTCCGTCGGCCAGTTGGTCTTCTCTATTTCTTTTCTTCCCCCTTTTTTTTTTTTTTTTTTTTTCCCTCTATTATTTCCGTATAATTTGGGCGATCTGATTTGTTTCCTTTGCCTTTTCCTTTTCCGGGATTGATTCCCTGGTCCAGCGATTATTCGAACATACTCGTAGCTTCTTACCTACTATCGTGCCATTGGAGCCAGGAA